TGTTTTTACATGAATAAAAATCGTGATTTTGAGTGTTTAAAATTACCATTTCACAATGTTAATAACTAAAAAACACAAATAAATCAAAGAAATATTTATGATAATTATTATTATTTGTTCCATTAATTTGTTTGTTGTTTTTTGTTTTTCATTATTATTAAAAATAATTATAATTGGTTTGTATTCATTTGTTATATTTACAATTGTTATTAATTAATAAAAATTGAAATTTTACAATTATTATTAATTAATTTTCAGTACCAAATACTTAGTAATTTATCACATTTAAAGTTTATAATATATTCGAATCAATTTTAAAATGTTTTTGTAACATCACGAAACATTTTTCAAAATAAGTAAACATCACGCCACGTTTTTGAAGAAAAAAATAATAAAAGTTGTGAGGAATTGTATAACAAACAATATTTAGTTATTCTGGCACTTTGGTTTTAAATATTTTACTAGTTCAACATTCAACACTCAAATAACATTAAACAAATTTTCCAAAAACATTGCAAATATATTAGATATGTATATAGAACAAAAAGAACAAATAAGCGTTTTAAAATTATTATATAAACGATTAAAAACTCTCTATTTCACAACATCAAATGAGTTTCTCTGCTTTCCAATTAAAGAATTACAATGGACCATCTATGATCTTTGTGAAAGATGTCCCTCTCTTCAAAGAGACTTACGAACAAGAGCTCCGAGCCAATCCAAGTGATTCAGATATTAGATTTGCATTCAACAGATGCAATATGCGAATTGATAATGAAACAAGAAAGTACGAATCACTTCTCACTAAAATTCAAGAATGTCACGCACCACGTCTTGTCTATTTAGACGCCGCTTCCAAAGCCTCCAATCAGTCCGAACTTTCCTCTCGCATTTCTTTAGTCAAAGATGAAGTTACACTTTTAGAGAAGAACAATGACTTGGCACTTGATCAATTGATTGCTGTAAGGAAGGCCGAAAAGGACTTGAAATTGAAAGCTTACCCTGACAAAGTGAAATCAATAGAAGCTGAGTTTGAGGAGTTTAAAGACAAATACAACAAACGAAAATTCAAAAAGGCTTCAAAGCCTGTTGAAGCCCCCAAAGAAGTTAAAAAGGACGAGAAAAAAGAAGAAAAGGTGAAAAAGCCAAAAGACGAAGAAAAAGAGGCGATGAAGAAAGTTGACAAATTACGAAGAGAAGAACTTTGTGGCAAATGGATGAAGAACACCATCACCGAGAAACAACTCAAGAAGATTGAGAAACACGCTGATATGAAGTTCCAAAAGGTGTGCGACTGGCAAACTCAAGGAGATCTCGACCCGTTTGGCTTCCAAATGAATACAGCAAGACTCGAGTTATTTAGAGCAGATAATGGACGTGTTTTTGGAGCATTTTTAAAGGGCATCAATGGAGGAAAAGTCAACTTCTTGTTTACCATCAGAGAAGATAAAGTCAAGTTCTTTGATTTGAAGGAAGGCATGGAACCATTTGTATTCAGATATGAAAGACCATTTAAAATTATATTTGGAGGAAAACTTCAAATTGGAGATTTGGACGTGAAGATCAGTTTAGTGAAAAGTAGATATGGGTTTAACATTGGAAGTTTCGAAGCGAAATCAGTGCAACTCTGTTATAACTACGGCGATGAGGAAAATGCATTGTATGGTGCAGATTCATGCAAAGGTAAAGTCATGTATGACTTGACACCAGCACAGTTCTAAAACAATTTTAAATTGTTTTATTTTGTTTGTATGAATGAATTATTTATTTTATAAATATATAACGTTTTATTAATAAGTTCATTTTATTTTAATTCATATACAATTTAGATGTTTTTATTCATTCACCTTTTCATTTGTTTTATCTTAGTGTTGATATAGTTTTTATTGTGTTTACTCAAAATCAAATTGTAACAAATGGTACTAAAAATAATAGTATATTTCATTTTTTAATGTATTAATCAGAAATTATTAAATAAAACAATGTATACGTAATTACACAATTGTTTTATTTTATTTGTATAGTCATGTTTTGATTTAATATCAACTGCAAGAAATAAAAACATATGAATCAATACTTAATAAATTGAAAACAATAAGCCATTGTTCGCTCAAAAAATAACATATTTCATGAATTACATTTGTAATAATCAATTTGTTTTTTGATAATATCATTATATCATTTGTTTTTTATTTCAATTCTTTGAGAGGAACACTCAAAATGATTATTATGAATAATTATAAATTTTATTTAATAAAAATTAACAAGTGTTTATGTTTTTAATTATTTTGTCTGAGAAATTAATAGGGGTATATAAAAATCATTAAACGATATTGAATTGATGATACATAAATAACATCATTTTTACTTGTTTCTTAAAATTTATTTAAATTTTATGAATTTGTTTAATAAAATGGACTTTCTAAATAGTAACTACCTGAGATAAAAATAGTTTATTTAACATATGTAATTTATTTCAAAAGAACGAAATAAATTATTTGAAATCCTTAAAATTAACCAGACAAATTATAAAACCATATTATAGCCAAAAATGACAACGAATATTTTCATTTATATTTCCAAGATTAAATTGAAACAAAGATGTCACCAAAGTCTTTTATTAAATAACAAAGAAAGTAGTAACTCCTAATTTCATTCATGTTTTTCTTCTTTATTTTCATAGTAACGACATTATCACAATGCAATGAAACTATTTGCTCATATACCGAGGGTGTCAAAGAAATGCAAACTGATGTAATTTCAAATCTGACGCTTTGAATCTTTTCAATAAAATAAATGAGTATCTTGGAGCTTATGCTTTTCGAGATATAGCCAAAAACCCTCCACAACCCGCTGGTCATCCTTCTTATTTTCCAAAATATGATATGGATGCAGAAGCATCAAAAATAAAGTCCTATATTGATTCACAAGGTAACTTTGTAATCTTCCACGACCTTTACGTGAAACTTTTACACTTAATTGGGGGTCCAAGAGATCTTCATTTGAGTCTAACTTTGGACACGTTTGATGAGAAGAAAATAGGTGGTTTTATTGTAGTCAATCCGACTTCATTTTCATTCAAAGGTACAAAAGCTTATGTCAATGTACCTGCAAGTATATTTGGCAATCCCGTTGGTGTTATATTTAATACGCTCACCGTCTCAAATCTGAAATCAAAAATGACCAAAAACATTGCAATTAAAACAATAAATGGTGTTGAAGCAGTCAAATTTATCAGAGACTATGCCATGAAATACTTCTTATTGAAAAATGAAAATGGCGCTGTCACACAACTTAAAAGTGAATTTACAATAATTCCATATTACGCAAATCCAGTGGACATCGCAGACACTACTTTTAATTTGGTTTTTGAAGATAACAGTGAAATATCATTCAACTCCAAATTGTTTAATCAATACGCCGGATTTACTGGGCATCAAGATAAGTTCAAACGAGCAAAAGAAATTCTCCAAAAATATCGTGAAGAAATCAGTGCCAGAAATAAGAAAGAGAGAGGAAGAGTTATATATAGAGCTCCAGATAGAATAACCGAAGACCTCTTTGTGAATAAAAAGGAGGCAGATACCTTATATAATGTTACATTAAATAGAGTTTTATCTTGTGGCATTAAAACATATAACAACAAGAAGTATAATATTATGTCGGTCTTCTCTTTCAATTCCAATGGCTTTGATGAGTTTGTGGTGAACGCAAAGAAGTGCGGAGAGCTGTTTGACACCAACACAGACCCGATAGTAGTGTTTCTGCCGATGAATGGTGGTGGGTATATCGATGCAGAAAACTACCTTTATAACATCCTCTCTCCTAACACAAATTACGAGAAAAGGAGTGTTGGGAGAATCAATCCTTCTACAGAAAAGGTACTCAGAAACGGCTTTGGATATGCTTTGAAAGACCCAATTACTAATCAGTATTGGATGGATTACTCTGCTAATGTTTTTGTTGGGCCACTTGGTGATTGGTATGACAAACCCCAAAGTGAAATGTATGGTTCAACGCAATTTACACACTTCAGTGAGTCAATTTTAGTTGGAAACTCGACGATTTATAAGACGAAGAATATTAGAAAATGGAATGAAATAGTCGTGTTCTCGGACCATTTTTGCTATTCTGCTTGTTCTATTTTTACGAAGAATTTTGTGGAGAAGAAGTCTGCAATTGTAGCAACTTATAGTGGATTACCAAATTCACAATTTAGAGCAGTCGGGGAGAGTCCAACTGCAGTGATCCAAGACTATTCTATTCATAACGGAGAAGAGACTATTTTGAGTGATTTGGGCATCACACTTGGACTGTCATTCCTTCCAACACTTCCACTGGATAAGAGCAATAAAGTACCCAGTGAGTATCTAGTTCACCAACCAAACGACTACGTTGAAATTGGCGAATTCCAAAACACTGCTGAAGGTATTGACGTCTTTTTGGAACAAGCGAATTTGCTTATGCAAAAGTATTCTTCAAATTGTGAGAACGGAAAAGTAACACAAGACGCAAAGTGCACCAAAAATTCTGAAAGTGAGATTTGGGGGATCAAATGTGTTAATGGAGAGTACTTGGAAGCTAATTGCGTGTTTATGAATTGCTCAAGTGGGTATGTGCGAGACACTTCGAACACCATTTGTTACAAAAAGGAGTGCGAAAACAGTGACAAAGTAGTTGAAAACTCCGAATGTCCCAAAACATCAACAAGTGAGAGTTGGGGAATTCAATGTGTGAACAACAAAAAGGATGTCGCCAATTGCAAATTCATTGAGTGTAAAACTGGGTATAAACTTAACACGACAACAAATAAATGTGACAAAATTGTAACACCAGTCACTGAGTGCAAAAGTGGAGAGACAAAGAATTCAGTTGATTGTAAAGAAACGAGTGAGAGTTCTATATACGCTGCAACTTGTGTGAATGGAAAATTTGATTACACAAAGTGTGTGTTTTCGACGTGTCAGAGTGGGTATGAAATCAACGAGAAGACAAGCAAATGTGAAAAAGTAGTCATTTCAGAATGCCTCGAAGGAGAAAGTAAAGTCGATATATCATGTAAAGAGACATCTGAAACTGAAATTTGGGCAGCAAAGTGTGTGAATGGTAAGTTTGATAATACGCAATGCAAGTTCATTCAATGTAAAGGTGCATTAAGCGTTGATGAGAACGGGAAGTGTTCAGAAAGTACTAAATGCACTGAAGGAAGTGTCTTACAAAGTGAAAAATGCAAAGACCAAAAAGAAAATGAAATTTGGGTTGCAACATGTGAGAACGGAAAGTTTGATTTTGAGAAGTGTCAATTTTTACAATGCAAAGAAGGATTTCAACTCGATGAACAAAATAAATGCGTGAAAATTGTTGTAAACAATTCGGACCAAAATGATGGTGCTTTGAGTTATTTGGAATGTGTTCTTTTGGCACTTCTTTTAGTAATTTAATTTTAATTGTTGTTTTTTGTATTATTTAACAATACAATCAATATGTGGATGTGTGATGATATTTTGTAATAATAACAAAATTTTTTATTGTATAAATGTTGTTTTATATTATCCTGATATTGAACAGGATTAATTTATTTCTTTTACTAATTTTATGTTATGTTCAAACAGTGATATGTTCAATTTAACATAAACATTACCAAAGGAGAGTACATCTGTAAAACAATTTAATTGGAAATTATTCGATGTTTTATAAATAAGCACAATTATCTGTTAAAACAGAATAAGAAAATCACAATGATTTAATAGATTCTAGCGTTTTAACAACCTCTTCAATATCAATTCTATCTGTTGGACGATGATACCAACAGTTTTGTATAAAATGGTATATTTCATCTGGTATTATTTCTGGTTTCTCAAGGCGATTTCCAGACATGATAAACTCTGCGATTTTCCAAGGAAATCTGAACCGTTCTTTATCGTAAGCTTCACCCCATTTAAATGTCTCAAACAATGTGATGCCAAATGAAAACACATCTGCTGATTTTTTGTACTTTTGTTGGCCCAACACTTCAGGAGCCATGTAAACTGGTGTACCTATACCCCTAGTGAATGTCATATTAGTTGTCAACAGATTGACGTTTCTAGATGACCCGAAATCAGTCAACTTTCCATTAATAGTAACGTTTACTTCCAAAGAAACCACCAAAATGTTGTCTGGTTTGATGTCTCTGTGTAATATGCCATTTTCATGTAAATATAAAATACCCTTTGCTGCATCTATACCAATTTTTACCCGCAACTTATTTGATATTTCACTCGTCTTTTTGTTCTTCATCAAATCCTGTAAAGACCCAAATTGTGCAAATTCAGTGACCATACACACTTTGTTGGGAATAAATACAGCGCCATAAAAATGAACAATGTAATCACTTCTAAATTTGTCCAACATTGTTACTTCTTTTGTAAACTCAGTCATATCATTGTTTTCTCCAGTCGACTCTTTCATTCTCTTAATTGCCACTGTATTTCCTCTGTATTTTCCTTTGTAAACTATACCAAAAGAGCCTTCACCTATTTTCTTTTCTTCGTTGAGTTCTTTGTAATTCAATTTTGTGGAGTTTTCAGTCAAAACTTCGATTTGGATCTTTTCGTTGTACTGTACACCAGTTTCTATGTCAAGTGCAATGACCATAATGTCTTCTTCTAAATAGCATGAACACAACGGCTTGATGAATATCTCAAATTCACAAGCATCCCCTCTTTTTAAAGTAACAAGCGAAGGAACCGTTCGTATTTCGTAATAGTCACACCCTTCTAATACACTAAATTGAATCTTCATTTTGTGTTTTGATGTGAAGTACCCATCTTTACATGACAAACACTCGTCTTTCTTCAAACACATATCACACGACTCATCACACGCATCACAGTCTTTCTCGACTTTGTAATACCCAACTTTGCAAATAGCACACCCTCCACCAGCGGGTAGTGTCACTTCACACCTTTTCGCCAATTCACCAAGTGTCTGGCATTTCATAGACAAGTCAAGGAAGTATCCACTGTTACATGTGGTGCAATATGTTGCATTGTAGCAACTCAGACAGTCATTCACACACTTCTCACAACTGTTTTTGTTCAGGTAATACCCATTTGGACATCGCTGACATCCTTTGTTGTTTCGTGTCAAACAGTCGACTTCTTCTTGTTCTTTTAGTGCACTTTTCATGTTATACACTGACATCTTTGTTTCATTGACTTTATTGAGATCGTCAAATTGTTCAGCACACACACCATCTTTCATGTTGAATGCGTCTTGGCACTCAATGCATTTTGTTGTGTTGAGTGAGTAGTATTTGCAGTGCAACTCAACATCCGCTTTTGTGCAGAAGTCGTACTTGCCTTCAATGTTCTTTGTGTCAATTTGGTAATACCCAGCCTCACACTGCGCACACCCACTCTGGCTTGTGCGTTTACAGTTGACTTGTTCCTTGTTAACACACCGATTGGTGCTGTACATCAAGTAATTCACTTTGCATATTTGACACGTTCCTCCAACACAGATATCACAGTTTTCAGTCTCGCATTTCGAACACTTTCCTTTGCTAATTTCCATATCATTTTCTTTGCATTGGACACACAGCCCATCGACAACTGAATTGCATTGTGTATCGGTGGTGCACGCCATCTGTTGTACATCAAGTATTGCAAGATCACCACATGTCAAATACTTGTTTTGAGTTGAACAAACTGCATTTGATCCACCACAGCTGTCACACGTGTTTTGATTTGTCAAATACGTTCCTGCTTTGCAACCAAAAACAACACCGTTTCTCACCAACCCATACACACTCTGTTGTTCACACACACCATTATTGTTCAGAATAAAATTATCAACACATGTAATACACGTCGGGACACCATTCTCTGATTTCTGGTATTTACAGCCATTTATTTTAGCTGTACATTTTGAGTTGATTGATATTTGGTCTGAACAGTCACACGAAGTTAAAGTCGGTGATTCACAACCACCAGATGATACACATTTTGAGTTGGAAACAAAGAAAGTGTCACTGCAGTCCAGACAGCTTTCTTTGTTTTGTAAAATGTCACAGTTAATATTGTTCTTAACACAACTTGGGGTGCCTGTTGTGTTGTCAAAGTATTCATTCGGTTGGCACAATTCACATTTTGCGCCATTCAAAACGTAAGGGGAAATGCACACATTACATCTTGCTTTGCCAACAGCGATTGTATCACATGTGTTGCAATTGTCGATTGTGTTGTAACACTTTGAACACGTAGTTTCGCTGAACTTGTATTCACCAATCGGACAGCTTTCACAACCACCACTCTTCTGAATAAACGGATCTTTGCACGTCAAACACTTCTTTGCATCAGACGAACATGCGTTGCAATTTGGTATTGTGGAACACGCAACACATTTGCCAGATGTTTCGTCGGGATAGAACCCAATTGCACACACTTTGCACTTTCTTGAAAAGTCTGGCGAACAGGTGATGCAGTTTGTGTCAAATGAATTGCACGCAACACACACTTTGCCTGGTGGATCAGTGAAGACGTTGTTTGTTGTACAGCCTGTGCAGACACCAGTTGATGTGTTGCACTGCCCATTACAACTTGCATCACAATCAACACATATATGACTTACAGTGTTTGGATACATCCCATTGTCACACATTGCACACTCTCTCTTATCACCAACACATTTTGAACAGTTTGTGTCAAAAGTGTTGCACGTGACACATTTGTTTGTGATTGGTAATGTTGGCACATACCCACTTGTGCACCCAGCACACACTCCAGTTGTTGTGTCGCACTTACCGCCACATGTTGCATCACAGCTCTGGCACTTGTAGTCGCCAGATGTCTTCGGGTAATACCCCGCCTTGCAGACACTGCACTTCCTCTCGGCACCACCCGGACACTCAGCACAATACGTGTCAAACTGTTCGCATGTGATGCAGCGCTGTGATGGTGATGCAGACAACACAAACCCAGTTACACACGACAGGCAGTATCCAGTGCTTCCATCACAACTGTTTGCACACGTGGAGTCACACAAAACACAAGTACCATTGCTACCAGGGTAATACCCTGTGTCGCATGTAACACACCTTCTCTCATATGTTGGCGAGCAAGTTGTGCAGTGCTGATCAAATGATTTGCAACTCTCACAGACAAGACTTGTTGCACTGACAAAGACGTAGTTTGACAAGCAGCTCTTGCAATATCCAGTGTCTGTGTAACAGTTTCCATTGCATGTTGTGTTGCATTGTTGGCATCTTTTCTCGCCATTCAGTTGGAGAACGGGGTAATTGTTTGTTGTGCATTTGACGCAGTTGCGTGTTGCATCGCTTGCACAAGTCACACACAGCAAGTCGAAGGTGCTGCAAGTCTCACATTGTGTGGTGCTGCCAGACTGGACAACACTGTTCTCACTGCACGACTTGCAGTTTCCAGTCACACCATCGCAATTTTCACACGCACCATCACAATCAACACAGACACCATCAACTGAGTACTTGTTGTTTTTGCAGACAGTGCACTTCTTCTCATAGTTGCTGTCACACGTCTCACAATC